AGGAGGAGGAGGAGGAGGAGGAGGGAGGCGAAGTAACGGGGAAAGTAACCCCGTTCCTCCCTCCAGGCTTACCAGGGCGGTGTCGGCGGGGTCCCGTTCCCCTCCGCCCGGCTCCCCCCGGGGGGCCATCCCGTTCCGCCGCCCATTGGGCAAAGGGGGCCACCCGGCCTCTTCTTCCTCGCGTTCCATTGAGCCTCGCCAGGCGCGTCCGCACTTCCCACCCAAACCCTCGGCGCGGGATCGGACCGCGATAGGCGCCCCGCCCTTCAATCCAGCCTCCGACCAATTGGGGGCCGCGGAGAAGCCGGGCTCTATTGACCCTGCAGCACGCTTTACACCTGTCCCAGGGGCTCGAAGGGCCAGGGTTTCAGCAATGAAAGTGTCATGTGTGTGTTGTGGGCCTTCTAGTCGTTTCTGAGTCCAATCTGCCCTGGAATTTTCTTGGCAAGATTTCCTCAGAGGGTTGTTTTTTTTGCCATTGCCTTCCCCTGAGGAGGCTGAGAGAGTGTGACTTCTTGCCCAAGGTCTCCCAGTGAATTCCCATGGTGACCTTAAGGAGAACCTATCCTGAGGTTTTCTTGGCAAGATTTCTTCAGATTTTTGCCATTTCCTTCCCCTGAGGAGGCTGAGAAAGTGTGGCTTCTTGCCCAAGGCCACTGAATGGGTTGACATGGCTGAGCTGGGATTCGAACCCTGGTCTCCAGAGTGGTAGCCCAACACTCAAACCACTAGGCCACACTGGCTCCTGAGCAATTAGTAATAATAAATGGCAGCTACTGCATCCGCACTGCAGAAATAACCCAGTTTGACACCAATTTAACTGCCATGGCCCTATGCTGTGGCGTTTCTCCTCACTGCTTGGACCACAGGCTTCTTTCTTGTCTTTGCTTTCAAGTCATTTCAGACTAAGGCAACCCTATCATGGGCAAGATTTGTTCAGAGAGAGTTTGCCATTCCCATCTGAGGCTGAGAGAGTGTGACTTCTTGCCCAAGGTCACCCAGTGGGT